TATAAGATGGCGGCGGAAAACAAATTATAAGGTTCTTTTCTTTTCAAAAATTTCGTAAGGGTTAGTATTCCCCATGTGATCATTTTATATCCTAAAAACCAAACGAAACTTACTCATGAAATTTTAAATACCGTAGCCCATCATTTTTATTAAAATTTTACAAAGCCCATCACACTACAAAAAAAGCGGCATTTGGCGTCGGTTAATAATGACTTTAACGTCACTTTTTAACAGACTCTAAAAATGCGACGTCGGTTTACGAACCGTCTTAACATCGTCCGTCGTTAAGTATATTAACATTAGTTTAAGAAATGACGTGTACTTTTACGTCACTAAAGTTGTGTCGCTTTTACTGAATATTAACGACGGTTGATTCCGACTCAAAAGTCAAAACTCATTTTTTGAGTCACTTAATAAACTGACGTTTATTTATAATTATTTATGCTGCTTAAAAGTGTATATATAAAAGATAGATGTGTGTAGTTAACTCAAAATTTACAAGATAACTTATATAAAAGACAATCACGACAAAGAAAAAAAAAACTTATATAAAAGACAATCAAATAAATCTGTTTTAAATAGAATACAAATATCAGTAGAACTATCATCTATAACATAACATCTGCAAACTTATTATATGTGTATTTCTCTATTCTCCTCTTTTGCTGCTTTTGTAACACTGCAGACCTGAAAATTATATACAAATTTCAGAATTATACTTATAAATAGAATACTGTAATAAAAATATGTAGATATGATTCTTACATGGTCTTTTGATACAGTAGATGTTTATGAAGAATGTCAGATGCTGCTGGTTGAAATATGTAGTTAAGCTCTGTATCCCCACCATTTTCATTCATCTGTAAAAGTAGTAAACTGATTTACCTTTCTTTTCATGCCTAATACAATTCCAAAACCAGCTTAGGAAAGAAATTCAAGCAACAATGTAGATCATGGATTTAATAAAGAGTCCTAGCAAATACACTAGAGCAATGTAATCATAACCTCATTATTTTACAAGGAAGCATACTCATATCTCAGCCAGATTTGGAAAGGACCAGTTTCACCAACAAGATTCTGAAACATTCTGCATATATTAGAACTAGAAACAAGCTCAAACTCATATCTCAGCCAGATTTGGAATGGACCAGTTTCACCAACCAGNTTCTGAAACATTCTGCATAACTTAGAACTATAAACAACCTCAACTCATATCTCAATCTCAGTACTCTGATAAAAAAAACTCTGCAATTTCTTTTTATTGACACATAATGCTTTTTGTGCCAACTCATATACCTCTATGACATGTAAAACATGTCATATACATGTCATTGCTCTTTTTAATGAGCAAACAAAACATCACTGCCTAAACAAGGCCAGATTGTGACGGTAATTAATCCAATGATTCATAGGAATAAGGCCATGATTCTTCTCGAAGATTGTACTCTCAACTTATTGAGATTGTGAAACACAAAGAAGACTCGAACCAATCTATGACTTCAATTGACTCTAATATACCGACGTTATCCAGCGTATTTCTTGTAGTGTCAATTAATGCCACATTACTTTTCTAATAGTTTGATTACATGTTTCTTAAAATTTTTATGAGTGACATATGATTTTTTTTTTAGTATCTCTTCGATTAATGGGTATGACTGGTTAGTAAAGTGGAAGAATTGAAAAAAAAAGTATTTTCACAAGAAAAAAGTTTTCCACCGTGTAGTAGAGGAGGGAAGAATTCAACTGTATTAGTTTCTTTTTGACTATTTTAGAAAAAACAAAGAAGAT